TGCTGAACCTTCCTGCTGCCTCACGGGGTGGGCTCCTTCAGCAGGGCAGCTCCAGTTCATCAACACTTGCATCTAGGACTCGGCATTTAGAGACAACGGTAAGGAGGAGACAACCTGCCACTTCCCTCTGCCTCCATGGCCACAGCTGGGCATCCCAGGAGCCAGCTCTTCCTCCTGGGGGAGTTTTCAGCAGGGCTAGTTAAAATAGCTGGGATTTTTAATTATTTTTTTTGTATTTTGGTGCCAAGTGAAACAAAACTCCTGCCTTTCACGTGGCTGCTCTTTGCAGAGCTTTGCCCGTCGGGTGGAAAAATCCGATGTGAGAAGAAAATGGTGTTGGTTCCAAAAGAAAAGTGTTCAGGTTGTTGGTTTTTTTTTTGCTTTGCAACAAAACTCAGGGAAAAAAAATCCTTCTTAACTCTCTTTGTTCCATTGGAAAGTAGGGAAAAAGTGGAAGAAGAGAGTGGGAAACGTTTGGATGTGAACAAAACAAAAATGCTTTTGAATCTAGTCTAGTTTTGGTAAATGGACCAGAAATGAAGGTTTTCAATTCCTTAGAAATTCCTGTAGGAGATTCTTGTAGAAAAAAAAAGATGGTTTTTTAGCCTGAAAACTCAAATCAATTCCAGTGTGTCCCCCAGTCTTGCTTTCTATGCTGTGATGTCTCCTGAAGCTGGTCCCAGGCAGCCCTGGATGCCCAGCCCACCCTCACACCCCAGACCTTCCCTGCTTTTCCATCCTTTGTCTCTTAAAAAAATATCAAAAAGTCAAGGAGAAGTGATGAGCAGCTTGGCCTGGGTGTTTTCTCCAGGAAATGCAATTAGACAATAACTTTCCCAGTTCTTATATTTTATCAATTCCTTTTCCTTCCACGTGGGCTACGATGGTCTGATCTCTGCTACCAGACTCAAGCTGGGTCAAATCTTGTCTTTGAAGTTGCTTTTTTAAATTTCCCAACCCCTTCCCCCCCCCTTCTTTTTTTTTTTTTTCACCTTCCCATTTCCAAACCAGTGACTGGCATCCCCTGAACCCATTTTCAAATTGATGCTGGTTTCCCAGAATAGTTTTAGTTGTGAGAGAGAGAGAAGCTTAAAAACTTGTTGAAAATGTAAAAACCTCTGGTTCAACTTTGAGAGGCACCAAGAGGTTTGATGTTAATCTGTGCTCCCATTTTTTTACATATTTTGGTTTTTTTTTTGGAGTTGATGCAGCATCTTGGAAAGAAAAGGTTTTGAGCCACATCTTTTGGACCAAAATGTTGGGTTTTTTTTATTATTTTGACATTTCAGTCCCCTGCATTTGTAGGACTATTTTTGAATAGGCCTCGAACTTAAAAAAAAGGATGACTTTGATGGAACCTCAACTTGGTATGAGTATGGGAACATCCTGAGGACTTCAGAACAAGCCCTGTCCATGGGACAAGCCATAAATAGGGGTTTTTTTCATAATCTTTTATGGCTTTTCCATCAAACTTGATTGCTTTTCCACCCCCTCAGAAGGGCTTGGACTCCTTCCCACACTGCTAATCCCTCCTTTGGTCATCCTCAAAAAGGAGCTGCAGTGCACGTAGCTCTTGCCTTTGGTCACAGATCTGTGCTAAGGAGCTGATGGTCAGTCTGTCCTCCCCTTGAAAACAGACCTTTGTCAAGGGTGGTGGAAGATCCTGGTTGCTGGGACAAGGAGGGTCATTCCTTCACCCTCAGTGTTGCTGGGCAGTGACTCCTGCTTCTCTCTCCGTGCCCATCCTTAGTGCGATCCCTACGTGAAGATCTCAGTGGGAAAGAAATCCATAAATGACCAGGAAAATTACCTCCCCTGCACACTGGAGCCCGTCTTTGGGAAGTAAGTTGTGGTTCCATCTGGAGTCTGTGGGATTTTTATGGTCATATTGAGGGAGTGGGGCTGAGCCAGCCAGAGCTTCCCAGTCCAACCCACATTCCAAGCCAGGTTGGACGGGGCTCTGAGCCACCTGATCTAGCTGAAGATGTCCTTGCTCACTGCAGGGGGGTTGGAGTAGATGATTCTATGATGTAGCAGGAGGGAGCTGTGGCCTCTAGTGGGCCAGGACCTCCTGCCCTGTTGCAGAGCCCACAGCCAGAGCCTGGGGAGCTCTGCTAGGCTGGGCAAGTCCTCCTTGGCCAAGTTTAGCTCGTGGCCAGGGGCTGTCTAGACAGTGTGCTGCTCCTCCCACCCGCTCTGGAAGCAAGATGTAAACCCAAGGTCCTGGCTGCTGGTGGCTCTTAAACCTCACGTTTCATGAGCTGCTCCCTGGGCAGCTGCCATCCAGCTCCAGTTAATTACTTGTTGCTGACCCCAGTTCCTCCTGTGCTCTTCACTGGCAGCACAATCGCTCGCTTCCTCTCCCTAAAAGCTGCTGCTGGGTGGGTGCTGGCAGTGGGGGCTTCTCCTCAGCATTGCTGGTCTTTTGCTGGCAGGTAGAGGGGTTCCTGGTAGAGCCAGGTCGGACCTGGACCATCCTGCTTACCAGGTCATCCCACCTTCCACATTCTGCATCATTCTGCATCAAAGGAGCGTGGCCACCTGGTGCAGAGAGGTGATTCTCCCCCTCTGCTCTGCTGAGACCTCACCTGGAGCACTGTGCTCAGTTCTGGAGTCCCCAGCATAAGAAGGACATAGAACTGCTTGACTGTGTCCAGAGAAGGGCCATGAGAATGATCAGAGGGCTGGAACACTTCCCCTAGGAAGAAAGGCTGAGGGAGTTGGGGTTGTTCAGCCTGGAGGAGGCTCCGTGGTGACCTCACAGCAACTTCCCAATATCTGAAGGGGCCTACAAGAAAGCTGGGGTGGGTTTTTTTACACAGGTGTGTAGTGAGAGGACAAGGGGCAATGGATTGAAACTTAAAGAGGGGAGATTCAGGCTGGACATGAGGAGGAAATTCTGGGCTGTGAGGGTGGTGAGAGCCTGGCCCAGGTTGCCCAGGGAAGCTGTGGCTGCCCCATCCCTGGCAGTGTTGCAGGGCAGGTTGGATGGGGCTTGGAGCAGCCTGGGCTGCTGGGAGGTGTCCCTGCCCATGCAGGGGGTTTAGGACTAGATGATCTTTGAGGTGCTTTCCAACCCATTCTATGATTCTGTGATTGCCAACACCCGTGGGCACCAGCTTGGTCTGAATGGGGTGTTGTGTTTTGATCAGGTCTTGGTGCTTTGTCTCTTGCCATCCTTTATTTGAAGAGGGAGAGGCAGGTTTGCTCTTGCTTTGTGCTATGTCAGCATGTGAGCTGTGGTGTGGTGATGGCAGAGGAGACAGCACAGAAGAGAGGTGCTTAGGACCAAGAGGAGAGGCTTTGGGGGTCAGTCTCTGACCACAGGCTCGGCCCAGGCAGGTTTGACTCCTATTTTGGACATTTGCTCTTTGGGCTTCTTGAACAGATGGTTTTCCAAAGCTGTCATTTCTCCCCCTTTCAAATTCCATGAAAATGATGATTCCTGACTCTCACCTGCTGCTCTTCTCCCTGGATATTGCAGTGACCACCATCATGGCCAATTAGCAGATGGGGAAACTAAGCAGGGACAGAGTTTGCTGGAGGACAATTCAACCAGGCAAAACCAAACCCGTGTGCTTAGCTGTGTATCCAAGAGCTAAACCAGGGTAACACAGGACCAGCAGCACTGCACCAATGTGACAAAGATGGGTGAACTGTCCTTGCCAGCACTGGTGGGCTGGGGTGGTGTGGGGGTCCCTGTCCTGTGGGGCACCCAGCAGCACGAACCTCCAGCTCACAGGCATTTCTCTGCTCCTGTTGGGCAGGATGTTCGAGCTGAGCTGCACTCTGCCCCTGGAGAAGGACCTGAAGATCACACTCTATGACTACGACCTCCTGTCCAAGGATGAGAAGATTGGGGAGACCGTCATAGACCTGGAGAACCGGTTCCTGTCGAAATACGGGGCTCGCTGTGGGCTCCCCCAGACCTACTGCATGTAGGTACCTCTGTGGCCTTGGGCAGGGGGTCTCTGTAGCTGTCAGGGCTGTGGGGTGTCCAGTTGGCTGTGGGGACCAGGGTGATGTCTCAGCCCAGGGATCTGCTGTCCCAGGACTGCCCCCAGGGGACCTGAGCAGGGCTGTATTCACCACAGGGGTGTGTCTTGAGATAGATCCTCACCAGAGAAACCCCATGTTTGAGGAGCTCCCCCAGGCTCAGGCTCTCCTCCAAAAGCATGAAATGCTTCAAATGTCAGTGTCTTTGGGGAGATCCTGGTACAGCCCTGGTGCCTCTTGGGCACAGCGTGGTGAGGACACCCCCCCACACACAGGGCCAGTTGAAGGGAGAGGTGGTGGGTCTGGGGGAGCATCAGGGCACCCCAGCTCTGCCAGCTGGGCTGAGTGGCCTGTGGGACGTGCAGCCCAGTTCACCAGTGAGTGCAGAGAGAGCTGCACCTTCTTCAGAGCAGCCCTCACTGGTGTGATGCTGCTGCTGGCCCTGGTTGAGGCTGGAAGATGTTCTGCCATGTGCTGAGCTGCTGTTTTCCCTCCTGTTCCTTTTTCAGCTCTGGACCCAACCAGTGGCGAGACCAGCTCCGTCCTTCCCAGCTGCTTCAGCTCTTCTCCCTGCAGCACAACTACAAGGCTCCCACCTACAAGTCTGACAGGGTCATCTTCAGGGAGCAAGAGTACATCCTCTCTGAGCTGGGTAAGGTCACGGGGCTGCAAGGAGCTCTCCTGTCAGGAGCAAGGGATGGAGCTGGAGGTCATGAGCACATCAAAGTGGAGGGTTATCACAGAGGCCTGGGGTCCTGGGTACAGCTCTGGTGCCCCCAGCACAGGAAAGATATTGACCTGTTGGAGAGAGTCCAGAGGAAGACATGGAGATGATCCAAGGGCTGGAGCAGCTCTGCCCTGGAGCCAGGCTGGGAGAGTTGGGGTGTTCAGCCTGGAGAAGAGAAGGCTCCAGGGAGACCTGAGAGCAGCTTCCAGTGCCTGAAGGGGCTCCAGGAAAGCTGGGGAGGGGCTTTTCATCAGAAAAGACAGTGATAGGACAAGGGGTGATGGTTTTAAGCTGAGAGAGGGGAGATTTAGGTGAGATATTAGGAAGAAATTCTTCACTCTGAGGGTGCTGAGGAGCTGGAATGGGTTGCCCAGGGAGGTTGTTGTTGCCCCATCCCTGGAGGTTTTTAAGACCAGGTTGGATGAGGTTTTGTGCAGCCTGGTCTGGTGGTTCCCTGCCCATGGCAGGGGGGTTGGAGCTTGATGATCTTGAAGGTCCCTTCCAACCATAATGATTCCATGATTCTATGACTGGCTGATGGGCACGTCCCCATCCCCATCAGCTTGCTGTCCAGGTTGGCCCTGCCCCTTTCCCAAGCTTGTCTCTGCCCCAGAGGCTGCAGGTTGCAGTTGGAGCTGCAGCAAACCCCAGGGCTGCAGCCAGATCTGCAACCCAGCCCCCCTAACCCTGGCCTGGAGCAGCTGCCCCGTGCTGCCAGCAGCAACCCAACCCAGCAGCAAACCAGCAGCAGCCCAGCAGCCAACCAGCAGCA